TTATTAATATTTCTGTGAATAAATATTTGTGTGTTAAACAAGTTCAAGTGAATATCAAAGGTCATCATTGGGCCGCACTGTCACTTTAGTTCTTCTAGACGAACCTCTAGTATCCAATATATTAAAGATACAGGTGCAGTTCAGCTAGTGGGGGCATTTTACTGGTTCTCATCAATCGCTGACCTTGCCCCCCTATAGAGAGGGATTAATTCCCGTAGTTGCTATGCAGTAACAGGAACTTCGTTTAAATCTGACAAAAGGGTCACAGGCCTGACCACGGTGACACATGTGACTAACCAGGAAATACTTAGAGAAATCAGTGGGAGTGCAAAATGCCCCTTTCAAGTCGAACAGAGCCAAGATACGTTCCACCCTCACCTTCGACGGCCCTATCCCTTGCCATGGCATGGTGAACAGGTCCGCAGCTGTAGAACTTTCGCCGCCCGAAAGTGCGCCAATGAGGCTGGAGGGTAGTGATAGCCTGACGCCGTTTCGGACTCCACCCCCAGGCAAAGCGCGCAAACGCACAAGTCTAACTACTGTCAAACGCGCTGCTTGTCTGCGCCCTCTCACTTGGGCAGGCGGATGGAGTCCGGAACGGCATTCAGCTGATGCTACCCTCCAGCTTTACATCCGCGCCCTTTAGAACGACAAAAGTGAGATCTTCTACAGCTGTAAACTTCAGAGATCAGGCTACCGTCTAGGAAGGAAGAGCCGGGTTCGGTATGGTATTGAGTTCCTGTGGCATGCTAGTGCCGCCTGTTATCAGCCCACCTTGACCCATCTGATCTAGTAATGAACTGCTGTTATGAATATTTTGATTACCTGTAGCAAAATATTACATAAGGTACAAAAGGCGAGGTACTACAAAGGAGGAAGCATCATTTGTTCACATCCATTCAGCACTACATACAGGGAAGGGTACTGTAGAGTCCTTTCCACCGTTGAGATTCATTAGATTTCTATCACAGATCATCATTGACTCCTTCTTTCCTGAAAATACGAGAACGGTAACCCGATGTTCAGTCTTACTCACTTCGGATGCTGGGGCGTGACAGGGGACCATATTTGTCGCGGCGCCAACCCGTTTCCTGCCAATCATTGCCGCTTGCTCGCTTCAACAGTTGGTGGAGAACGGGTTGACGCCGCTCTAAATCCACCTCTCCAATGACACGCCCCAGCATCCGCAGTGAACAAGACTGTAAGTGTAATAGTATCCTTACCCCGGGCTGACGCGCTCTAACACTTCATAGACCGCCATTCTCGCACGCAGACTGTAATGTAATGTTGATGTATCTACCTCGATAGAGTCTGGTGAAGTCGGAAATTAGGAACATGTTGGAGCATGTTCGCAAGTTCTCGGTTGGACCCGATCAGTCACAGTCATTGCTCGAGAAGAGTTGTTTCAGGAGCCTTCGATTGGAGTTTCGTAGTTCGTACTCATGTTAAGCTATGATTTCCACCACTTAGCAGCGCGGATGGTCCTTCCTGTGCGAGGTCTTGTTCGAGGAGTTGTTATTATGACATACCTTCACATAAGGACGCGGATGGCTTTTTTCGAATATGCTTTTGTATTCGGACAACTCTGGGGGGAAAACCAGGTCGCGAGTTCGAGCTCGGATCTCGTTGACTTTTCATAGGCTCTCGGAACTCTAATACAATGTTCATTGCTATACAGCTTATTTACTTGGTAATATTAACTTTTCGGAGTATGGAATTGATGGTTGTATTGTGTATTCTGCAAACCTCGGCGTTCTGGAATTTATTTGGTTTTAGCAAGTGGAAAGAGCGGTGTAATAGAAGGGTGCATTATAGATCAGGTGGGCATGGGTGACAGAATCAGTGTAGATGATTAGGGTTGATTGACGCAAAGGGAGACGCGTGCGCGGCGTTCGCACCAAGGGTCGCGGACGCTAGCCGCATGGCCCCAGGTTGCGACTCGCCACTGCTGTCGCGGAGTATGAACGCTGCCTAACCTCCGCATCGTTGTTTGCTTTGTTCACACGGCCCTGCCTTTCGGGATTTTTAGGTGGGGAACTTCATTCAACCGTCTAACGTTTCGACGTGGTCCTATTCTCCAGAGGCTAGGTTCCCACCGCAATGTTAGGTCGTCTATCAAAGTTTTCCACGTGAAGACCTCGAAATTCACAGCATGATAGAATAGAGAGAGAGAAAAGGAGAAAGAGAGTAAGGAAGACGTAGCATTTTTTAGAAAACAAGCAAAATTGAAACGTTGTAGAAGAGAAAGGAAAATAAAGAGCTGAGATGACTAGATTGCCAAAAAGGCTCAATATTTTTTATCATGTGAATAGATATTTCTGAACTATGGAATTACTGAATTTTCTTTACCTGATTAGCTTGAAGTTTCTCCAACCATTGCTTTATAGAATGATATCGATGTGAGTGATGTACGATGTTATTCCATAGAGTTTCTTTGAATGCTGGTGAAATTCTGTCAAAAGTGAGATGGGGCAGTGGAAGACCCTGAATGTGGCAAAAAAGCTTGCGGATTTTTACAGAACAGAAGTGCTAGCAGGAAAGGAAAAAATACAAAGGAAAAATTTTGGTGAAAACTCTGAGGGGTCACACATCATGGCACACACAGTGCAGCTGCAGAGCACCCACCTTCAAACCGCGAACCATCATAGATGCTGATTCGGTATAATTGGCAGGGAAATATCCACCTTCAAGCACGGCCACAACACGGTTTGGGCATACTGTATTGAGTAGTCGCACCATGTGGCCAAATCT